GGATGCCACGTGGGCTGAGGGTCCCAACGCAGGGCTCCCCTGGGCGAGAGCCTCAGAGGCACCCCCGTCCCCTCTCAGGCACCCACTTCTCTTCCATGAAACACCGAGCCCATCGGCTGAGTGGGGCTGAGCCCGGAGCAGGTAAACGCATCCCGAGTGAGCGCCTGACCCACGGGCCTGGCTGCCTCTTGCTGCAGCGTTCCCTGCGCCATCGGTATTCCGTCTGTCACAGACACAGGCCAGCCGAGCCGTGGGACTGACGGGTGCCCAGAGCGTCCCTGTGCGCCCACACGCCGCAGTGAGAACGTGCCGCGCGCTCTCCGGCTGACGCTGGGAGCAGAGCGCGCACCTCAAGCCCCAGGACATTTATTAGACGCCGCCATCCCCACGCAGCTGACATTTCAAAGGGTCCCCTGGCGCCCAGAACAAAGACCCTCCGGCACACACTCCCCCACAGCGAGGACTCCAACCCCACAGTAACAGACGATAAATAAAGCCCGGCTCTAGGCTGGGGGGCGGGGGGCCTGAGCCACTCAGGCAGCGCCCAAGTGAGCTGGGCTCCCGCACCTGCATGGAGGGGCAGGCAGGCGGCAGGAGGCAGCAGCCTCCATCGCTGTCTCCCTGTTTCCCGGCATCAGACCCTCAGCATGAGCTTCAGACCCAGGCGGGTGTGCTCCTGCCTTCGCCTCTCCCGCAGCCGCAGGCACAGGGCCGTGGTCTTTAAGAAATAAAGTAAAACGTTCCGGGCTTCCTGCACCCGTAATAAAATCCGTCTTCTGCCCGAGGACATGCAGGGAGAGAGCAGGGGCCCAGGAAGCGCTGCCCAGTCCGTGTCTCCAGGAATCATGCAAATACACGTCAGCGGGAAATCCGAAGTCGGAGCGGGCGCTGCGCGTATCCCACCGAGCAGACCCGAGCAGCGGCGGGCCTGGCAGGCGGGCGTGGCAGGCATCTCAGCAGGTGGGGCTGGGGGTGCCCCGTCCATGCATCCTGGGGTCCCCAGTCCTCGCTCCTTTTTCTAGGGGGGGTTGTTTACAAAGTCACCCTTCTCAGTTCCTGGAGACCCAGGCGCTGTGCACCCCACACGTAAGCAGCCCTTTCTAACGGAGCTGGTAGGTTCCAGTGACCGCATTCCTGACTTTGCCCTAAAATGGTGATTGCCCACAACGAGGAATTGAGGCACAGCATGGACTTTCTCCACAGACGTGTTCAATGGTGCCAGACGGAGCCCACTCTGCGTGAAAGGACGGACGTCTCCCCGGGTCAGACGGGGGAGGCAGGGTGCGCCCGACACCCAGAGCCCGCGCGGCGAGAGCTGGGCTGCGTCCCCTCAGGGTCTGACTGGCTGGTCGTGGGAATGTGGGAACCTGCGATTTATTTCGTTTTAATTCAATTTGGTTTCACATCCTGTTTTGCAAGTCAGCAAGATGGGCGAGGTTTGCCGAAAAGGGGGTGGACGGAAGGAGGGAAGGCGGTCGCCACGCAGGCTGTGCCGGCCCCGCGCTGGCTGGCCCCGCGCTGCCTCCTGAGCACACGGCGCCCGGCCTGCCCACAGCCCCGCGGCCCCGCAGCCTCACTCTCTCAGCTGAAGGGCCTATTTGTCTGCTTTAAGTGAAATCACTCAATTCTCAAAAGTCAGTGGAGGACTCTAGGAGGGGGAGGGCTCAGATAGGCTACTCCAAATAAGTTCCATTAATCAAAAGACACAGTGTAATGTAACTAATATTTTACAATTAGGGAAGACAAGATGGAACTCAAAGCCATCTATCTCTCTTACACCGCATGATCATCGATTCATAATCGGGCCTGAGAGTCGCAGTGAGATGCATTTACTGGATGGGGCGCGGGGGGAGGGCCGGTCGGAGCCGAGATAATGAACACGATGAGAGCGCGGGCTGAGGCTGAGCCGGGATGACAGGGAGCTCACGCTGACGGATGACACGAAGACACGGCCGACACCTGACAGCCGCCGCCCCCTCCTTCCCCGGCGCCGGGT